GCGGAGCAGGGAGCCCGATGCGGGGCTCGATCCTGGGACTCCAGGATCATGACCTGAGCCGAAGGCAGACGCTCAACGACTGAGCCACCCAGGTGCCCCTCAAATAAATAAAATCTTAAAAAACAAAGCTTCCAGCTTTAAAACAAGGCACAACACTAAACACATGAGGACTTCCATTGTGTGCAGTAACACAGCTGTAATAATACAAATAAGCAAAAAGTAACAATTTCTCAGTAGTGGGCTTATAGGTGATTTTTTGTTTTATTTTTGAGTAATCTCTACACCCACCATGGGGCTTGAACTCACGACCTGGAGATCAAGAGTCAGACGCTCCACCGACTGCGCCAGCCAGGCGCCCCTACAGGTGATTTTTAATACCGTTTTTTTTAAACTCCAAATGTGTTCATGCTACATGTACGTTTAGATGCAGGGTAAGATAATGGAAATTAAGTTTCAGAAGAAAAAGTAATGGGGGCGCATCAGAACACGAAGTCAAACTCCCCACAACGAGACTGGAGACGTAATTCAAATGTCTGAAAGACCAAGTGGAGCTGAAACTCTGACAAACAAAACACTTTCATAGCACGTTTGAACCCTGAGACCCACTCCCTCAGGAAGTGCCGCTGCCTGCCGAGTCTGGGAAGCCAGGAAGCCGCTTACCGGAGTTGGGGCACTCCTGCAGCGCCTTGGCCATGAGCGTGTTGGCAATGTTCTTCAGCCCTGCACGGTACTCCAGCCTGACAGACTCCAACCTGAGGAAAGGGGCCCACAGGGCAGGTCACCCGTGCACGGAAGCCCAAGGACAAGCCTAGCTACAGTCCCAGAAGTTCCTGGGAACCCCCCGTGGCTGGAGCTCCCTGCGCTGCCAAGCACAGCCCATCCGCCAGAGAAGTGAGGAGGCCTGGGACCCTGATACCATGCAGGTGCGAGTAAACACGTGCAGGACAAGGTCCAGCTGGCAATGCTGTCGCCACTGGGACAGTGAGCACCATGTCAGCAGCGTCCAGGACCTGCCCATCTTTCTGGGGTCTCCTTTGGCAACCACCACACCCCAGGCTCTGACTCTATGAACCCTACACGGCACCTCTCCGCAAGCTGTTTCCTACGGACAGAACACCATCCTCACCTGACAACTTCGTGTTCATCCCTTAAAGCCTCGTCTAGATGTGACCTCTTCTGTAGGGTCTACCTTCTTGGCTTCATCCATCCCCGATCCCCCACTGTTAGCTCCTGGCTCCCCTGGGCACCTTCTACCAGAGCACAAATTAAACTGCATCCAACTATCTGCAGGCCCGTCTGAGTGTCCGGGCTGCACTCTCCCAAGGCAGGAACCGTGCTTCCTCAGGGACAGCACCTGCCACGTTTCCCATGGAGCCTGAGCTGGAAACACTGCTGCACAAAGGACTCCTCGTGAACAACTGAGGGAGGACAGCCCGTAGGAGGGGTGAGCTGGGTCTGCCAGGACTCACCACAGGCCAGGGTTCTTCGGGTTCTTCAGGCGAGACTTCTCCAAAATGGCCCGAGCTCGGGTCAGCTGCCCAACCTTCTCCTCCAGCCGAGAAAGCAAAAGCCACAGAGGAGTGGAGTGGGGACATTTCTTCAACTGCAGCCAACAAAGACAAGAGAGGCTCGGCGGGTGTCAGGGAGGGGCTGTGACAGCTGTGGCCAGCTTGTCAGGCCGGGAGAGTAGGGGATGCTTGCATCCATAGAGACCTGCCCGTTTCACGTCTGGGTGTGGAGATTTATGTGCATGGCCATGCCGTGCACGCGTGTACGTGCTGACTACACGGCTGTGCCGTGCCCCAGTGCGTTTGGGGAGCGTACAGAGCAGCCCTTACGTTAGGTGTGCTGTAACCCACACTTCACTGAGTGCAGTGCATACAGCTCTGCAGAAGGAAAAGCACAGGTCTGAGTGAGGGGACCAGGGTCTGGCCCTGCTACCACTCTACCAGCTGGGGCCTAAGCAAGTCACTGACCCCTAGGCCTCCAATTCCCATACAAGGGGAGACAAATGGCACCCCAGGGCCAGGTGTTCCATCTGTGAGGGGCAGCTCTGAGCTGCAGCCAAGGACACAGGCTCACCCCCTGGTTGTAGGCTTCCCGAGCCTTCTCCATCAGCTCCTCCTGCTCCTCAATCTGCCCTTTCATCATCCACAGCTTGGGGAAGTCCTCGTAGTGCTTCAGGGCCTCTTCACACAGCTCCTGGGCCGCTGCGATGTTCCCCAGCACCCACTCCAGCTTCACAGACTTCATGAACACCTGCGAGGCAGACGCGCTGTCAGGCTGCCCCCGCCCCCGCCCCCACCACCTGTCTGGACAGCATGACCGCCTCTAGCACTGGGCCCAGCCAGGACCGGCACCTGCACCAGGAGGACACAGGCTTCACACTACAGTTCCCCTCAAATGCCATTTGCCCCGCCGTGTTTTACAGACTTTTGTAAGCTGTTTCGCATCCCCTGCAACAAGATGGGGGCCTAAATACACAAACACGTGTCAAAGCCAAGGATGAACCAACATGCCTAGTGTGGGCACCTCACACCTTCCTGACGCCACAGGCCCCAGGGACCCCATGAGACCCGGGCAGCCTGCTCACCCGGGCAGTGGGCGCACTGCTCCGCGCCTTGGCCAGCAGCCGCCGGGCTCGCTCATACTCGTTGTTCTCTGACTCCAGCTTCACAGCGGCCAACCAGATCTCCTCGCTGTTGGGGTTGGCCTGGAGGGAGAGAGCAACAGTGTCAGGAGGGGATCAGAACAAAGTGGCCAGGGCCAGGTTACACTTAATCAAAAGCAGCCAGCCTGGGCATGGGGCCGGGCCCCCCTCTGCTGCAGGACAGTGCGATCCAAGCACTTCCAGGGCTAACAGATGACAAAGTCGGGTCCGGCCCAAGAATGCTGACCCACCCGAAAACCAGCCAGCCCACGTTCTAGGCGCCCAGGCAACAACACCGGCAGTGGCAGAGCCATCTTCCCCAGGGCCCACTCTGAGCCCCAGGGTCCTGTCAAAACGACCCGGGGGGATCTGCCACACCCAATCCTCTCCCAAGCCTGGTGACAAGGAACCAGCCATCTCAGTGTGTCCACGGGAGCAGGAAAGAAGGGTGCCAAGGGCATCACGGGTGGTGTGGAGGGCTCCCACGGGGTAGGACTGGGCCACATGCAACCCAGAATCCAGGAGACACAGGGGTGGTGTCCTCACGGCCTCCTGAAAGCACAGCCACCCACTGCCCACACTTGCCTGTCTGCATCACAGACCTGGCAGGCAGCCCCCGAGTGACCGTCAGGGAGAGGAGAGCCACCTGGAGGGGGTGTTGGGGACAAGCAACAATGTCCAGGCAGATGGCAGGAGAAGCTGTGAGCCAGACAGGAGCAGCACCCTCAACACGTGGCTGTCCTCCAACGGACAGCAGAAAGCCAAAGGCCAGATACAATCCCTCTCGTGGCATTTACTCAAGGAAGGACAGACTTTATTGTTATGCTCATCAGGGTTGCAACAGCAGACTGACATTTATGCTGCACTCAACAGTGTATAAAAACCTACGCTGGGGCGCCTGGGTGGCTCAGTTGGTTAAGCGACTGCCTTCGGCTCAGGTCATGATCCCGGGGTCCTGGGATCGAGCCCCGCGGGAGGCCTGCTTCTCCCTCTCCCACTCCCCCTGCTTGTGTTCCCTCTCTGTCAAATGGAAAAAAAAACAACCTATGCCGTGAGCACTGAGTAACCCATGGAAGTGTTGAATCGCTATGTCGCACACTTCCTAAGACGAACATAACACTGTACATTAACTCCCCTGGAATGAAAATTTCACAAAATTAAGTATGCTGCAAACTTCTAACACTCATACTGCCCAGCTCATGACGTCAGCCGTCGTCAGCCTGGCCGGGAGCGACTCCACCCATGAGGCTTGGCTGCAGCCGGTGGCCCACGTGCGGAGTGCAGGGACTGACATTCGAATTTCCACAGAGGAAAGAGGTTGTCACTGTGCTCTTATGTGGGGAAACGGTGTCTGGCGACTGCTGGGGAACGTCGCCTGTTGGCCCTATGTTCTGTGCTCTGGAACATGTGGCCTGTGGTTACAGTGAGTGGCCAGGACCACAAGGCAGGTCCACCAGCCAGCCGTTCTCCCACTCCTGGAACCCCTCAGGACCCCAGCTGCCTGTAAAGCACCCCAAGTTCGGTGCATCCTGATCACACACATCCCCTCTCTTAGGTCAGCTCCCATCAATGAGCAGGGGGAGGGCCTGAGGGCACATGCACTCTGGAGCCCTCAGTCCCCAACAGGCACTGGGCCGGGGTTCAAGTGCACACACCCCCTGCAGCCCCGCTGACCCCTCAACCCACCTGGAAGGCCAGAGCCAGGATGCTCCTCGCCGCAGGCACGTCCCCTGCCAGCCACTTGGACTTGGCGCCCATAAGCCACAGAACCTCCGCTTTGGGGCAATGGGCCACGGCCCTCTGCAGCAGCGCTTCCAGGGACTCCCTGGAAGACAGGGGGCCACAGTCACCACCAGAGCATGCAGGGTGCTCACAGCCTCAGCGTGGGTGCTGAAAAGACAGTTACTGCTCCAAAGTTCGGTGCTATAAATGATTTACCAGATTTTACAATGGGGAGAGTGTGGGGAAATCTTTTCTCTTCATAAAGGTTCTAAAATCAACTACTGAAGAGGGTGCTACAAAGCCAGGCATTGTTATGGGGCTAAGCCTGATGGAGGGACTTCTCAGGGGCCCTTTTATGGCCGTGTGTCCTGAGGGGAATGATAACTTCACGGTCTGGGTGACAGGAGACCTCTTTTCATCTGTAACCACAGATCCGCCGATAAAGATTATGACCCAGAACCTATTCTTCGGTATCCAAAGAAATTGTCTTATTGGAAACGAATTATTCTCGTCACTACTGAGCAAGAATCCCGCCAGCCTGGGTGGCAGGTACAAAGCCCCCAACCCTCATGTGGCCACCAGCCCTCTGCTGCAGCACCTGGCACAGATGACCTCTTTGGGCCTCGACAGCAAGACGAAGGACTCGCTCTGTGTGGAGTGAAGCCCGAGAGAGCACACCATGCTTCCCAGACAACAGGAGATCCAGGACCCCAGATCGAGAGCGCCCCACCTCCTCTGGCCGTTCCATTCCATGAGTCAGCTGGATGGGAAGGGTGCCAGAGACAGGGAGGGAACTGCCCCGAGACCAGGGACCCAGGGCAGCGGTGTCAGTGAAGCACACCCACAAACCGCAGCCGCCAGGAGAGGCCCTGCTCCGGACCCGGACCGTCACAGGTGAGCCAGCAGTCATCTCAAAGCATCCCCAGTGAGTTAATTCCCAAACACCAAACCAGACGGCGGGAGTGGGGAGGAGACAGGAGCCTCAGCAACACACATGGACAGACACCCTGACCAGACTGAGATTCAGCAACTCCAGGAAAGGAGAGAAACAGAGCCTCGGGGTGCTCCCAGCAGAAGCCCTGCAGAAATCAGCAGGGCCTGCCCCCCTCGCCTCACCCTAGCACAGGGAAGAACAGCGGAGGGCCCGGGCAGAGGGTGCACACAGCAACATGGGCCTGATGCCCCGGAGAGGCACCCCCTGAACACCAGAAATTGCAACACCTAATTTAATCAGCAGTTACAGCCAATAAGGCAGACCCAAAAGGTTTTTTCAATTAAAGAATACAACTAGAGAAAACTGTCAAGGACCTCCTCAGAGCACAAAACTAGCCCAAACCCAAAGTCAGCACAGCTTAAATGAAAACCATGCCTGCCTGGGCCAGACACTGCACCGCCCACACTGCTAAAGCCAGTCCCGCACAGCGGTGGGGCCTCAGGCCCCTGCCTCGCCCAGGCACCCTCGGGCCACCAGGCGTCCACTGGCCCAGCTGCGGGCTCTGCTGCAGAGACACCCTCGGCGTCTCAGTCTCTCCGCTATAAAGCAGTGATGACCTTACGGCAGAAGGAGCCATCAAGACAGATCACACGAATGCTGTAGACGCCTCCGCCCCACATCACAGAGAACTGGATCTCAAATGTAGGCCCTCGCCCACCTGTCGGGACGTGAGGTTTAAATTCAGCTCTGCCCAACCTGGAGTCAGAGGGTCGATGTGCACACAGGGGTGGAGAACGACCCCCGCACCTGGGGCCCAACCACGTACCTGGTGCCGTGGTTCTTCTCAAAGTACGCGGCTCGCAGCCACACGCTCTTCTTGCTGGGGAACACTTGCAGGGCGTAGGCATAGATGGCGCGTGCACACTCCAGGGCGTTATGGGCCACACACTAGAGCAGAGAGACAGGCGTGAGAGCGGGCAGCCCAGCACGGCACCAGAGCAGGAGGCGTGACGGCCTCTGCTCAAAATCACTCAACAGGATGACCCAGTGAGAAAGAGTCCAGGACAGGGAAGCCCTGGAGCACAGGGACATGAAGCACACGGGGCCGGGGGCTGTGTGCTAGCCCTCAACAAACAGCAGGAACTGGTGCAGACGAACGGCAGCCACCAGCCACGGCTGAGTGAGGCAGGCACGCTGCGCCCACACACCACACATACGGGTTCCTTCTTAAAAATGAGGCGTACTACATACTCTCCATTATAAAGATACACTCATTAGCAATCTGTAAAACACAGGTGAATACAAAGTAGAGAAAGCAATCACGGACGCATCGAGTGTGAACGGGTGTGGGTTCCGGCGTGAGGGATGGAGCAGCTCTGGAGTCAGGCGGTGGGGCTGACTGCACAACACGTGGATGCACTGGATGCACTGAGTCACAGCCTTCCAAGTGTTTGGAAAGGCAACTTTTAGGATATGTGTATTTTTTTTTAAAGATTTTATTTATGTATTTGGGAGAGAGAGCGAACGAGTGGGGGGACAGAGGGAGAGAGAGAAGCAGACTCCCCGCTGAGCAAGGAACCTGATGCGAGACTCGACCCCAGGGTCCTGGGATCATGACCTGAGCCGAAGGCAGACGCCCAACCGACTCAGCCACCCAGGTGCCGCAGGATATATGTATTTTACCACAATAAAAAATGCAGCTTAAAAAAGAAAGAACCAGTCCACTCAAACAGACCTACCATAAACACATGTCATTCTCTTCGGATGCTGTTTTCCTCACTCAAGGATGATTTTATTCCCCGGTTAGCATCAAGCAACACAAGAAAACCAGTCACTATTTATGGTGATAACGTCTCTAGATGGTCACGACATCCAGGGACACTCACTGGGACAGGCTGAGAGCTGTTCTCACGGAGCCTCACACAGGATAAAGGCCAGCACACGGCACACTCGGACTGCCCAAGAAAACCTGCGGCTCTCCCACACGCTGCAGACTCGGGAACCACTCTCATACCGAAAGAAGTTGTGTATCTTGAGGTAAGTGAAAAGCCACTAGAAGTGTGTCAGAAACAAAGTTTTGCAACAGTGATCATCAAAATGGCACAGATAGAACTAGACAGGCAGCCTCACAGCGTCTGGGCCTCCTGAGGCCACTTCCCAGATTGACAGTCGCATTCTCCAAGAGAACCGCTAGCAAGACTCCTGCTGTTCAAAGACCACCAGCGTGGAAATGGGTGTGGAGGAGTCGAAAGAGCAGGGACGCAGCTAAGACCTCCTTGTTCAGACTGGGTTCCTCCTTGGTCACATGGCCTCAATCTGACTCAACCACCACAGAAACCAGGAAGGGCCCTGCCTCAGGCGTGTCCTGACCAGCAGCATCTGGAAAATTGAGGATTAGACCCCATACGAACTGGTCTGTACCCCTCTCTGTGACTTCTGACCAAGGTCCTGAGGACAGTTAACACGGCCCCCCAGGATCACGGGACAGCCTGCCCAGGGTCTCAGGTGTGGGTGACCTGGGCCAGTCTCCGAGCAGTGGGAGTATCAGGAAAACACTCTGTGCTTCTAAGCACAGAAACTCCAGCTCTTCCTCCAGAAGTGCACAGCTCTGTGACAGACAGCCGTGCTCGCTCTGGTACACTTGGAAGAGGCAACAAAGAGAGAGAAGATCTGCAACAGCTTGCAGGTTTCTGCTCTCACAATCCGCTATCCATAGGGCAATGCCCTCCACCCCTGACTCCCAGGGCCTCCAGTGCTGTCAAAGACAAGGAAAATAAAAAGAAGCGAGGTGTTTAACCCCACATCTAGAATAAAGAGGAGCTCAACAACCAGGAACTGGGATTCTTTTACGTATTTAGGAGACTTCTTCCAATACAGAGACTGAGCATATTTGTTATACCTGTGTCTCCACGTCACGAAAAGCTTTTAAAAATCATCACGGTTGGCCTGCGTCTGGTCCCCCTAAAGAACCAAGAGTATGGGGGGCCTGGGGGGCTCAGTCGGTTAAGCGGCTGCCTTCGGCTCAGGATCACGCCCCACGTCGGGCTCCCTGCTCAGCGGGAAGCCTGCTTCTCCCTCTCCCACTCCCCCTGCTTGTGTTCCCTCTCTGTCTCTCTCTGTCAAATAAATAAATAAAATCTTAAAAAAAAAAAAAGAACCAAGAGTATATTCACTGTGCACAAGGCCACAGGCCCCTGGAAACGGATGGTGCGGCCAGCACCTGTGGTCTGGCTCAGGGCACACGTGGCCTTCGAGAGGAGGTTCTGTGAGGCTCCACACAGGGGAGGCCAGCAGGCGCTACAGACTCACAGAACAGAGCAGGGATCCCTAGTCTCTGCTAACGTAAGGAAGCAAATACCCACGTGAATAAGTGACAGAGGAAAGCTCTTCATTACTGTAGAATTCCAGCTGATAAACTCTAATACTACGTAGAAGAAACGATCTTAGAAAAGCGCTGTTTGGCAAATACCACAGTAATAACTGATACAGGCCAAAAACCTCATTAACGGACCTGCAAACTAGTAGGTCAAAGTTTGACAAGAAACAGGATATTTAGTCTCAGAGTGCCGCCCCATAAAACACTTATTAATTACAAAGAACAAGAATAACCTTCCAGTGGAAATGCCACTTGAGCTGGTCAGAGTTGAACGGGCACCTAAACCTACCAACACAACCTGCCAGGAGGACCCAACGTCCCGCAAAGATGCAGAACCTCAACCCCATGGTACAGAAACATCACGGAGACCTGAATCAACGGGGCCCCACAAAGTCACTGGCCTGTCCTGACAACAGTCAGCCTCATGAGAAACAAAGACAGACCAAAGCCCTCCTGCAGATATCAGGGCCGCGGGGGCCTGACGACGTCACCCTGGGAAGCTACTGCATCATCGCACAGCTGGGCTTTTCCTTCTGCTAACAGGACACTTAGGGAGGCGATGGGTGACATTTGGGGAAGGTTTGCAAATTATATAACAGTACAGTATCAACATGATTTCCTGATTCTGGTAGCTATGCTGAGATTGTGTAGGAAAACGTCCTCTTTTAAGGAAACACACACTGAAGCACTTAGAGGAAAGGGGCCACCCCCTCTGCAGCATACTCTCACATATTCAAAGTAAGAGATGTGGGTTTGTTGAGTATAACTGGAGGATGAGAAGGCAGATGTGGCAAAGTGGTTGAATATGGGGGAGTCTGGGTGAAGGGCATGTTAAGAATTCTTTGTACAGTTCTGCGACTCTACTATAAATCTAAAATTATTTCAAAATAACAAGGTAAAAAAAAAAAAAGGACCACAATTAAGGCATTAAATACCTAAAATATGTATCGATTTTGACCCCATGCTCTCTTCTCTGGAAGCCTATTCTAAGGAAATAATCTCAAAGCAGGCAAAAGCTTTGTATGCAAACTATTCTCTGAACTGCAATTTATAAGAGAAACCACAGGGGGTGGGGAAAGCCCCCGATGTGGAGAGGGAAACAGCTGAGAGAGCTCCGTGGGCTCCCACTCTGTACTGGCTTCTGGTCCACAGCACAGAATCAGCTCACCCAGACCGCTGCAGATCAGGAGGTATGCAAAGAGTAGCTCCCCAGGTAAACCCGGGTGAAGAGAAAACTGGATTCCTTACAACTATGTTCAAAAATCAGCAGATCAAAAACACTTTCCAACAGCAGCCTAGGCCCCCACGGACGGAGACTCCAGGCCTCTGTGCCAGACTCACAGCAGCCTAGTCCCCCACAGATGGACTCCAGGCCCTTGCGCTGGACTTACACTGTCAGCATCTTCCATCCACGTGTGCTTCCGATCTTCCTCCTCAATCCCAATGCCAATCACAGCACGCATCACAGCCTGGCAGGTGGCCACACTCCCAGCCTTGTCACACTCCTCGGCATCCTGAAAGAGGGACATAAAACTATAGTTCAGAGCTGCAGGTGCCTGACAGGGGGCACACTATTCCTATGGGATGAGGACCGAGAGAGCCTCTGCACTGCAGGTGGGGTGCGCACACACGGTTCTGATGCCTGCCGGGCCCCGCCACAGCCCACCCAACTGGGTCTGCTCGTTCACGGGTGTACCCATCCCTGCCACCAAGCAGATACATGCTAGACAAATACCTAAGGACTTAACAAAGCCACATCTATGCACTCGACAAACATTACATAAGCACCTACTGTGTACAAAGTACTATAGCAACTCAGTGGCTGTAAGAGGTTCCTACACAAAAGAAACTTCCCAAGTAACAGGAATCAAGACAAGTTCACAAACATTTGTATCCATTGGTCTGAACGCAGGATTCAAAATGGACAAAAGAAAGACATATTCTAACCAAAACAGACGGGGGATGGGAGTGGAGGAGCCTGGCACACAGAAGGTAAGAAAGAAACCCAGAGGAAGGACCCACCACAAGGCTGTCCCGTCAGGCAGGTGGGCAGGTGGACCCCAGGAAAGCACTGGACTTTAGGAAGCAGATCTCAGGATGTGCAAAGAAAAGACAGTCATGGTTCTACAGCTGAGACGCAGAAATGTGTCACTGAAGTCTCTTGCATGCCAATTAGGGAAGGACCAAAATGCAATTGAACAAAGGACATAAACACACAGTTCTCCAGAAAACAAAACTACAAGTGACTTTTAAACATCGGAAAAGAAGCCATTCTTATATTTTGTAAGTACATTTTACACATCAGATCAGTAACATCAGAACATGTGCCAACACACTTGTATAGCAAAGGTGGGGACATAGACACTTGCACACGTCTGAGGAGCACGAAGGGACAAACCCCCAGAGGGCAAGTTCAAGTTCTCCATCAAAATAAAAAGTGTATCTATTGACCCAGCAATTCTACTTTAAGTAATCCATCTTACAAATACGTTTCCATACGTGCAAAACAACCTACATACTGGGACACTTTTATAGCACTCTTTGCAAGAGAAAAGGGTAGAAACCACCCTCTTCTCTCTACTGAGAAGAGACTTATGATAAGTGGTCAGGGCAACAGGGTGCAGGAGACATGCTGGACATGCTGACCGCAAGAGCTCTGGGTTCTACTGCAGTGTGGCAGGAAGGCACCCGGAGACTTTTAAACCAGAGAATGAGTCATATAATCAATCTTATTTTATTTTTTATTTATTTCATTTTTTTTTAAGATTTTATTTATTTATTTGACAGAGAGAGGGAGAAAGCACAAGCAGGGGGGAACGGCAGGCAGAGGCAGAGGGGCAAGCAGGCTCCCCGCTGAGCATGGTGCCTGACACGGGACCCGCTGAGCCACCCAGGCGCCCCATCAATCTTATTTTAAAAGGGCCGCCCCAGGGACGCCTGGGTGGCTCAGCTGGTTAAGCGTCTGCCTTCGGCTCACGTCATGATCCCAGGGTCCTGGGATCGAGTCCCGTGTCAGGCTCCATGCTCAGCGGGAAGCCTGCTTGCCCCTCTGCCTCTGCCTGCCACTCCCCGCTGCTGGTGTGCATGTGATCTCTCTCTCTCAAATAAATAAGATCTTTGAAAAAAAAAAAAAATAAACGGACTGCCCCGACTGCTGGATGGAGCATCAGCGGGATATACATCAGGAGTCACTGCCACGTCCAGGAGAGGCTGTGTCTGGCCAAGGATGGACGCAGCTGGTTGACAAGGAGTACCTGGACCAGGGATAGATGGGAAGACAGACTCAAACTGCCCGCCGAGGTGAGCCAGGCCGGACTGGTAGATTTTGTGCGGAAAGCAGGAGATGCATCCCGGACACATCAGGCTGTGGTGCTGTCATGTGTCCCAGGGGGATGCAGGGCAGGAGGGGAGTGATCCAGGACATGGAGAGCGCCCAGAGCAAAGTCCACATTTGGGGGTTCCTGGCGTGGAAGCTACATTCCTGACAATGTGGGAAGATGAGATCACCACAGAAGCACAGAGAAGTCTCAAAAAAGGGCTGAGGGCCAAACCACCAAGGGATTTAGATTACAAGAGGAGAAAGAGAACCAGCAAAGGAGGCAGAAGAAGAGGCACCAGCGAGACAAAAGGAAAACATGCAGACATGGTTCAAGGGCGCAAGCGGGCTGAGCAGGACCTGCCATGGAGGATCCTGTCTGCAGCAGGGCCGTGGGTTCAGGGCCCGGACTGGGCTCCACAAACAATGGGAAATGGGAAGTAAGAAGGCAAGGGTAAAATGCATTTAGCTCAATAATGCTCAATAAATGGTGACTTGCTCAGGAGGCAAAACACCTGAAAGTCGTAACACTTCGCGAGACACCACACACACACAAAAAGTATGTATCAACCTTAATACGACTGAAATAAAACTAACGTACATTCAGATCCTTTTCATTACGTTCTGGCAGAAGTAGAAGCAAAACACGAAATCTGAGGAAAGTTTTAAAAATTCTAGCTCATGCTATACTTTTTTGCACACTGGCAGTGTCTCAATGAAGAGTTTGTAGGAGGCTGGTGTGAGAACCAGCAAGGGGAGAGGACACCGTCACCTCTTGCAATCATCCGTCCTGACAAGATGGAAACAGACAGCAGAAGAAATGGACTCGCTGTGGCCAAGCAAGTGTGTCCCAAAAGGGGGATAAGGAATGGGAATTGACAGGTGGGCATTTCTGGGAGCACAGGATTCTCAGCTCTACCGTGTGCAACACAGTTCCCAGGGCTCAAAGGAGACCGAGAAGGCACTCAGAGAGCTGGAGCAGCAAGCCCTGGCAGGTGCACCATCAGCCTCCAAAAGCCCTCAGAGGACCGGAGAAACACTGCTGACCCAGCCGGAATCCCCTGCTCCCGAGACAACCACAAACCCAGATGACGATCATGAAACGGAGGATGTTTTGAATACATGGAACACAGTGGGTAACAAAGGGGTGTGATGACTGAGATGCAGAAACAGTCAAAGGGAACCCCACGTCGGTCCAGCTCACTGTGTGGAGACTTTCCAGGCCACGGTGCAGGGAGGGGGACCCAGGCAGGGCCAGTGGAGGCAGAGCCGAGCCCTAGGAGATCAAGGAGCATCCAGTACACAGGACCAAGCACCAGAGAGGAAAAGTGCAGCACAGAGAGAGAACCCTGGCGTTGTGCTCTGCAGAGGGTCACCTGAGAGTCTTCACTGAGCATCAAACACAGCATGAGTGTTTGGAAAGAACCATCCGAAAGGATCAGAGCAATCCTCGGAGCTCACAGGGGACCAGGAACAGTGCTTGTTTCCACTGGCCTGACTGGAAACCCCCAGGAGAAACAGGTCACTGGGCGGAGTGCACAGAAAGATCTTACCTCCATAGGACAATTAGCTCTAAACTGTCCCACATCCACCACTGCCGGGTCCGACCTAGCAAAGCAAGAGCCAAAGGGTCAAAGTGCCTCCAGTAAAGTGCTGCACCCCAACAGGGAAGTCTAGAATATTTACAGGAACGCTACAATACCAGCACCCAGCAAGGGAAATTCACACTATCTGGCAACAGTTATGCAAAGAAACAAAAAAATGCAACTTGTAACGAAAGGAAACTTAGCTATCAAAATCAATCCCAAACTGACAAAGACGTCAGAGTTAGGAGACAAGGACACTAAACCAATTGTTATCACTGTGTTCCATGTATTCAAAATATCAGGTAGAGGCAGCAGAAAATCTAACATTTCACATTAAAAAAGTGAAAGACAGTTTTTTTAAAGATGTGTTCATTTTAGAGAGAGAGAGCATGAGCAAGAGCGCGTGAGCAGAAGGAGGGGCAGAGGGAGAGGGAGAGAGAAAATCTCAAGCAGACTCCGCGCCGAGCGCAGAGCCCAATGCAAGGCTCGAACCCAGGACCTAAGATCATGACCTGAGCCGAAACCAAGAGTAGGACACTCAGCTGACTGAGCCACCCAGGCACCCCATGAGAGACATTTTTCAAAGACCAAAATTAAATTCCTAGAAATGAAACTGACAAGATCTGAGGTAGAAAACACCCTAGATGAGATAAAAGGCAGATCAGATGTTATAGAAGAATAGACTTTGGGGACAAAGCCATAGAAGTGATCCAAAATAAAATGGTGAGAGAAAAAGAATTAGTCTTTAAAACATGATCAGAGCATCAATGAGCTACAGCACTAACACCATATTCGAGATACTTTCCCCTAAGATCAGGAACAAGACAAAGATGTTGGCTCTCCCCATTTCTAGTCAACACTTCAGTAGAGGTTCTAACCAGGGCAACTAGACAAGAAATAAAAAGGCATTCAGAAAAGGGGTGGGGGGGGGTAAGATTATAATAGGCAGATGGCAAAATCCCATAACCAGAAAATCCTAGAGAATCCACGAAATCTATTATGATTTAAATTTCATCAAGGTCATATCACACAAGCTCAATATTCAGAAATGAACTGTATTTCTATACACCAACAATGAACTACCTGAAGATGATATTAAAATTCCACTTATAATAGCATCAAAAATAATAAAATACCTTGGAATAAAACAAAAGAAGTGCAATATTAATACAAAGAAATATTGTTGAAAAAAACTGAAGACCTAAATAAATAAATGGAAAGACATCCCATATTCATGGATCAGACGGCTTAATACTGTCAGGATGGCAACGGTCTGCAAAGCAATCTGCAGGTCCCAAGGGATCCCTATCAAAATCATAGACGGTCCAAGTTTCTTTTTCGCAGAAACTAGTAAGTTGATCCTAAAATTCATATGGAAACACAAAGAAGCAAGCACAGCTGATCTTGTAAACAACAAAGGAGGAGAACTCACACTTCCTGACTTCAAAGCTTTCTACAGAACCACAGCAGTCTCAGGATCACAGTGCTGGCGTCAGGACATACAGTCTAGGGGACAGGACTGAGTCCAGAAATAACCTTGGACACTGATGACCACTGGCTCCTACAACAGCACCAAAACCACACATGTGCACAAGAGTGAAGTGAAACCCTT